TAGAGGGCCAGCAAGGATGAGGAGAACCCTTGGTAAGATAGATTGGCACGATAGCTACAACAGTGGACTCTGAACTTGCCAGCAGTTGTGAGGATGGTACAGAACTGGGCAGCATTTTGTTCTGTTGTACATAAGGTCCCATGAGTTGGAGCTGACTCAATGGCATCTATGTATTTATTTATCTATGTCTCTCTCTCTCTCTCTCTCTCTCTCTATCTATCTATCTTGACTCGATGGCATCTATCTATTTCCCCAGATAGATAGATAGATCTATTTATCTATCCATCCATCCATCTATCCATCTTGATGCTTGTTTGGGTTCTATATTGCAAGAATTTTTGGATATTTCTGAAGGAGGCAAAGCCTGCAGGGTGAGAGATATTGAGGGGTCCTGCCTGCCCCTGTGGTCACCTTGCCTTTGGTGGCTGTGGGCATCTGACCGTCTCCGGTCCCCAGTGCCCAGCCCTGAGCCTGGCATATGCAGGGCACAGCCAGTGCTTGGTGAATGGACGGACCGATGAATGGATAGCGGATTCACTGTCACACACGCTTCCCAGCCCCAGCCCAAATGCAGAAGGTGCTTGGAGACACCAGTCTCTTTGGTTGTTTTCCTGTGACAATTTGATTTCTGCCTCTGTGGGACGGCAGTAGTTTTCGAGTAGTGGAATAGACTCAAAACAAGTGAGTTCTGAGCTTACCAATTTCTCCATTTCAGTCGGGGGAGGCAGTGTGGGGTGTGCCCTGATTTATGACATGAACGTGGTGGTCAGACAGACATGAGTTGAGGCTCCAGCGCCACGGCTGGGTGACCTTGGGCATATTATTTAGTCTCCCTCAAATTCTATTTTCTCATCTAGAAAATGGTGGCACTAACAGCAACCAACTCATAGGGCTGTGATGAGCCTTAAATTAAATAATGGGTGTAAAGCATGTAGCAGTGCTCTGGGTGCAGAGTGAAAGCTCTAGAAAGGATGGTGATGGTGGATTTAATGACCTGCTTAAGCT